ATGTTGTGATTAAGTTAGTTGTTTTACATAATTGAGCACGAAAGGTATGCCTTTGGTATTGTAAGACAAGTGACTGGAAAAATATTTTGGGAAATGTTGAAAATTAAGATTAACAAAAAGGACTGTGGATGACATTCAGTTGTGTTGTGAGCGTTGTAAATGCAATTAATAAACCATACATGGAAACAAAAAAATGTTGTATTTTATTATTTAGTACCTGTGTACGGTAGAAATGGAGAGAGAGGAGGGGAGAGGGAGTAGTATGTGCAAGGAAAGTATGGTGTACTGTGACTTATATATAAGAGATTACCGATTGCGCTTTGGTAATGAGGGTTTGGTTATTTGGTAGTAAGGTTTTAAACATTCATTTCAAGAAAGCATTTGCATCCATACGGAAGAAAGATGATGGATGATAATATTTTTTCCCGATTTGGACTCAATGACAACGTGCTAAATTAATAATAATAAACCTTTGAAAATTTTAAGGAGCCCCATATAATATATTAATTAATAATAAATAATTTTTAAAATACATGGTGCAGTACATATTTTATAGATCTATGAAGGTTTAATAAAATATAATTTCATTGTTGGTTGCTTGTTGTTGAAGTTCACATCACCATAACACCTGTAGTGCATTGAACTTATGGGAAAGAATAATATACACGTAAAAAAAATTTATTTATTGAAAATAATAATAAAATTAATTACATAAATTAATAAGTTATTAATTAATGTATAAATTAATATTTATTAATTTATCGATAAAAAATGTTGCAATTCACAGAGGTAACCAATCTCCCTCGTCATATTCGACCGTTAGTATTTATGCAAAGAATCAGGATCTCAAATTTTCGTAAAAGATGCAAATGAGAAGATCAAGCTGGGTGATTAGGTGGGTTTCGGCCTTTGTTGGGGTCATTTTGCCATTTTCAGCATTTTTAGTTTATACATGCTTCTATACTTCAGTTTATTACATTTTCTTCCCCTCCTGGGGCTGTTTTATAATAGAATAGTTAGGGTGTTCTCTGAATTTTTATTGCCATTGTAGGAGAATTTTTTTCCCAATGTAGGCATACAAAGTTTTAATAAGGTACAAAATATTTTATAATAGTGGAATAATGAAGTTCTTTTGGCTAACAAAAATTAAAAAGTAAAAAAAATAAAAATAAAAATAAATTATCGACAAGTTAATAATTCGATTTTCATGATCCCAACTGTGTTAATTTAGAGTAGGGCTATTTCCACCAACAAAATATCTCAATTCACCACCAAAGATTATAAAATATCATAAATTTTTTTTTATTAATTTTTACAATGAAACATTTATTACAAAATTTTTAAACTTCCATATCAGATGACCCACAGATTATTTAATTTTGATTTTTAAGGAAACGAAATTATATTAAGCCAAATTTGCCAATTCTGGAAGAAGTTCAGGACCTTCCATACAAGCAATCTTAATTTATTTGTAAAAGAACGTGAATTCCCGCTCTTTTTGACATTCGGAAATGTTTTTCTTTGACGAAAGTATTATTCACTTAAGCTGGAACAACTATAATATAATATATTATATAGAAAATAGTAATATAATAATCATAATTAATAATAATGTTAAAGATTTTTTTGATTTTTAAAATCGAATAAATTGTCAATCGTACAAATAATTAGTATTTTATACCTTTTGTGCTATAAAACTAAAAAAACACAATAGTTTATTATATTTCTCATTTTACAAAAAAATACATTAAGCTTTTCATTTTATAGAATAATTATTTTTAAATTAAAACAAGAATTTTTAACTTGATAGGGTTAGTTTAATAAGATATTTTGAGGGTGAAAATATGCATATCTCTTAATTTATAAAGGTTTAAATGTATAAGTTATTAAATGTTCATTGACATAGTTTTATGAATCGTTACTTTGAAATATCAGACTAAGTTTATATTTTATTTTTTAAAATAAATATGTTTTATAGTACTGGTAAAACATGCATATAGACTTTGTAATTAAACTACTACCTCAAGGCTGAAAACATAAAAAAAGACTTTGTAATTAAACTGCGAGCATAATTGGCTTTTTCAAAGAGCTGATATCGTGTCTCTCTCTCTCTCTCTCACTCTCAGAAAAATATACGGTCTATAATGGAATTACAAATGGATTTCATTTTTGGCTTTGATTGAATTTCAGTTTCCCTTTTGTTTGTTGATTTGTATTGGGTTATTAGATGGTGAGAGAAACTTTTGGTGGTTGTAGGTGTGTGGTGGAGAAGAGAAATTTGGTTTTGGGGTGTGGGTTTAGGTTGGGAAGATGGCTTTATAGAAAATATTGGGGATTGAATTGAAAATTTTGAGAAATTTATTTTGGGCTTTATTAAAATTATGGGGTGAATTTATATTTTTTTAAATTTCTTATTTAAAGGATTTTTGAGTATTTTTGCGTCAAAACCACACCCCGATTCGAACATTTCACGAATGCTACACACGTTCGGCTCGCAGTGGCCTTATTGCATTTGACTAATTTTCATAGGGGTTTTTGCTAATTCTTTTACCACAATGGTTTTTTCAGCAATTTGAGATTATACAGGGGTGGTGTTTGCAAAAAAACCCTACAAAAATCACTCTGCTCTCTTCTATCGACAGAAGTCCTAATTCCCCTTCAGTTCCATACTCATAGCATCTTGATATCTTACCTGTCTTCATTAATTTTTTTCGTATTTATTTTATTTAGTTCCTTTGGATTAATCATCTTCTGGTTGATTTATTTTCAATTTTACGAATTATCTTCAAGTTTGGTGAGTCACCACTCAACCCACTATATTTGGGCACGAAGGGTGGTAAATGACTTGGCAACTGTGGAGATGTTTGAAGACAACATTGATGAGGTAAAAATTGTAATGCTGAAAGTATTCGTGCCTTTATATACAATTTGAATTTAATCCTATTGACATCTTGATTAAATAAGTCAATTCCCTGCTATAGTATAATTTTTTTTTACACACACCAGTGGTGGAGGTGTAATGGGGCAAGGGTGGCCATACGTAATTTTAGAAAATATATTTTTGTAATCTAAGGTATTGGGTTCAAATATTGAGTTGAGTTATTGCTTTGTTATTAAATTTGAGTTAATGTATTTGCTGAATTTCAATACAAATTAGTTAAATTCTTAGAAGATATACTTTTGTTAGATGACATCAATATTTTTGCTGATATATTTTGTAAAATGAGTTTTGGGTTGTGATTCCCATTCAATTAAATTGTTCTGAGCCATTACTTTAATGGAATAGAAAGAAGAAAATGCAGGAACAAAGAGATATTTGGATTTTGAGTTGTTGCATGCATTTGCAAGTAGCACGATGTGATTATCTGCTAGAAATTCTGAGGGTTTTTTTGCTTCTCTAAATTAGAGGTCAATCAAAACACGTCTTGAAAATACTTATTATAGTAATTGTTTGAAAATTTTCAGCTTGCCTCTCGGTTATTTGTAATTAAGGTGTTTTTAAGGTAGATGATGGTGATTCTATTGTCCAATTCTGCTGTGCAAAGAGAGATGTTGCTGGTGGGCCTGAAGTGCCACCAAAACGAAGTGTAGCATGTGGCAAATATGTTGTGCCATACGAAGGTTTATCGAAATTTTGGAAATATGACAGCAAATTGATTAGAAATGTAATGTAGCTACTGTTGTTTGTGTTAAGATCACCATGTAGTATACCGGACATGTGAAAAAGGAAGTTGTTAGTAATCTGGATATTTGAATTTTTTGTGCAATAATGATCTTCGTCTACATTAGTGTTATGTTACATGAACATATTCATTTTGATATGTTTTTACTGTTTATCAGTGTTTATTTTAGGTCGTCTTGGTTGTGTCTACTGCATAAACATCATTTGGGTATATTGGTTATTTTATGTTTTATCCAAATAAAGCATGCAATCCAAATGTAAAACTGAATTTCTAATCATTTTGTCCCTGTTAATCTTACAGACAAAATGTGTTTTTACGCATATTAAATAGTGTTCTACAGTACACTCCAAGTCATACAATCTATTCCATCTTATCCCTCCGTGAAACCAAAATAAGCCTAAGGGGCCGAATTTGACGGTGGAGGCAACCCAGGCTATTCCAACTGATGCGGTGGTCTTATGTCTCAGGCGGGGCCAGCGCTTGTTAGGTAATTTATGTTGTAAATGGCAGTTAATTTAATCATATTAAAACTGTACGATACAATGTCATAACCGAAAACTTGGGCAGGCACTTGGGTGGCTAATGTTTGGGCCGGGAGCTTCGAACACCATCATAGAAGCAGTTTGCTGGCGTGGTGCGGTACTATAGAATGTCAACTGTGTGGTTACTGGGGAAGGTATATTCATTTGAAAAGATCTTTTTTTGGTATTTCTATGTTCTTTTTGAAGTTTCTATGATAAAGTTGGTTGGTTTTTGTGTTATTTATTGAATATTTTCTTTTGTTTTTCCTTTTTGTTTTCCTGTTATATTTATAGGTTCCTTCTCAATTTGTTAGTGAGCTAAGACATGACATTTATAGCGTAAAATATAATAGAGCCGTAAAGGTTTGTCAACCAGGTAATTTATTTAGTGTAATTTATTTTTGAAGTTGTTTGGTTAAGTTGATATATTATTCCATTTTATGTTTGTTTCCTGAGCTGTAGAAAATTTGCATCCTCTAGTTTTTTTTGTTACTAATATTAGTCTTATTTTCTGTGTGCTGTAAATGACAGCATTTTGAGTGTCATATCATATCCAAATGAACATAGAGTCTAATTGATTTATAATTTTGGATGAAAATGTAAACCGAGTGAATTATGCCAATATGAGTATGTATAAATTATAATTATGCCAGTAAAAGAAACTGGGCATCAAGTCAAATCGATAATGTCTTAGAAGAACATATGTTGAAAAACATTAGACTTCCAAATGATACGAAAATAGGAAAAATAATGCTATGAAATAATCTTGTACTTAGTACCCTTTCAGAACACATCGTTATGGTATTTGTAAATTTGTAGAACTCCATGTGAACCTGTTCATAAGATGAAAGTATGAGGATATATTAGTTTACATCAGATACATGAAATTGGACACTTGGCCAATGAAATATAGGTTATCAATGTATGTCACCAGACAACTCGAAAATGTAGTAGAGGCATGATGAGGTGTAAGTTAAGATTAAAACTTAAAAGGAAGCTGAATCATGTGTATGTTGCTGCTGAATAAATATAAGCACAGGTATGTATTTTGCTTACCATGTTAAAGTCATTAGCATTCTATAAGTGGTGTTGTGATTTTGTCTTGTACGTCTTTGGACCCAACGTCCAATGATGAATCTATAGAAAATATATATTATTAATTATTAGATGCTGAAAGAATATAAGAATGTATTTATAGTTATCTGCTATATATATATATATATATATATATATATATATATATATATATATATATAACTGATAAAAAAAATTCTCTTATTACCCGTACTGAGTACTTCTTTGTAGACAACATTTTTTGTTGTCATTCTGTCCCTAACGTTGTTAGTGTCTGGCTTGATTAAGACTTTAGTTGTAGACATTGATGTTCCTCTTGACAACGCTACATATAGTTGGCCATGAGAAAATACCGATTGTGGCAAATATACTCCAACATTAGGTATTGTTTGTCCTTGCGCCTTATTTATAGTCATTGCAAAACAAAGTCTAACTGGAAATTGCTTGCGCTTAAACTTGAATGGGTAACCTTCATTTTCAGCCGGTGAAAGTGGTATTCTAGGTATGAAGACATGTTTCTCTGTGTGTTGACCAAATACAATCTCTGCATGAAGGACATTGTCCTTGAAATCTTTGCATACCATTATCGTTCCATTACACAGACCATTTGAAGGGTCCAAATTTCTCAAAAGAATTAGTGGGCAGTTTTTCTTCAAGAGCAGCTTATGGGGAGGCAAGCCATTTGGAGTTAGAGAAT